TTCCAAGCTGCCCCCATCATACTTCCACATCTTCCAGCAGATGGTAGGGCTAAAAGTGTGAGGATAGCTATGATGGTCCAAGAGGACAGTTGGAGGAGATGAATGTAGCTTAATGCAAAATTCAGAGGCTGTGTGCTTCCAGGGAGAGATCGTGGCTTTTGTGGCTTGATCAAATGGGATATATAAGTTAGTTAAGCCATTTTACTACCTGTAACTTGAGGCGAGCTACCTGGACCTTCCGAACTTCCTTCTCCCTTTCTGAGAAATGGGGGCATCACCCCAATCTCTTCAGAGATGCTGATTCTGTGAAATTACATGGGTACTGTTTCTGACACAGAGCAGACATCCTATAAATAAATAATTTCCCTGGTCCTCTTTCCTTCTTCATAAAAAGGGAACTTCTCATCCAAAGTCCTTCAGACTTCCTCTAAATCTGGAGCAGCCAGCCCTCGCTCAGAGTGAGGGCAGAATGCCAGGGCATGCTGAATCCCACCACCGTGCCAACAAAATGCCACCATAGATTAAGAGAGTTCCTTCTGAGTTTAAGCGTTTCTAAATACCTTTCGTGAACTGAGAAGGCAGGCTGAACCAAGTGTAAAAAGACTGCTCTCCTCTGTTCATAAAGGCATCTTTTCCATCTTCTCCGGATTTTCATGATCTGTAACTGGACTTGTGTACCCAGCTGGCAGCTGCACTAGCCAGACCCTGAGGTAACCATAGTTCAGGCCCAATTTTTTTTTTCCTTCCCTCAGAGCAGCCTGCAAATTCTATTTCAAGCACACACACGTACAGAATGCACATGTGGGAATGAAAACCAGGCCCTTCTGGGGGGAATGAGGCCGTGATATCTGGCTGTAGGAAGGCCACGAGTGGTCCTTGAACAGGGGCCCCGCCCAGGCATGGTTGCGGCCCAGACCTCAAACGTGGTTCTGGCCTTCGGATATGACATTAGCAATCACATGGAGAGTCACCGCATCTCCTGTTTGGGGCAGAAACGTTGCACAATCTATGGTCAGACAGGCTTGAAAGGGTTTTTTCTGTACTCTGCAAAATGTGTAGCAGTGTGGAAATTCTGGAAAACTAATTCCTTGAAGAAGCTGAGGATCAAAACAGTGATAGAGAAGAGAGAGTGAGCTGCTTATGCTTGTATGAAAGGACTACTCTGATCAAGGAGATGGACACTTCAGAATGTGGGTCTCGTGTGTGTCCAAATCAGGAATGAGATTCCTACATCATGTTGCAAAAGCTCTTAAAGCAGGAATAGATCCCAAAATGAACATTCCATTTGGATGACCTATATTAATAAACCATTCATTCATTCAACAAACACGTGTTAAGAACCTACTACATCACAAGTAGTATCACAAGTCAAAGGATACCAAGGCAAACAACAACAACAAAAAACATCTTAGAAAGAATCCCTGGGACTTCCCAGGTGGTCCAGTGGTTAAGGTTCTGTGCTTCCAATGCAGGGGGCCAGGTTCAACCCTTGGTTGGGGAACTAACATCCCACATGCTGCCCAGCTTGACCAAAAAAACCCCAAAACCTGTTTTTAAAAATGCAATTAAAAAAAAAAAAATCCCTGGTGGGACTTCCCTGGTGGTCCAGTGGTTAGGATTCTGCACTTACATTGCCAAGGATGCAGGTTCAATCCCTGGTCAGGGAGCTAGGATCTTGTAAGTTGTGCATAATGGCCAATAAGTAAACAAATAAAAAGGAGACCAGAGGAATTATTTTTTAAAAAATACCTAGTCTCATGAAGCTTCTGTTTTATTAAAAAAAAAAAATTCCTGCACTTCCCTGCTAGTACAGTGGAGAAGAATCCACCTGCCAATGCCAGGTACACAGGTTCCATTCCTGGTCTGGGAAGATCCCACATGCCAGGGAACAGCTAACCTCATGTGCTTTAATTACTGAAGACCATGTGCTCAGAGCCTGTGCTCCGAAATGAGAGAAGCCACCGCAACGAGAAGCCTACCTACCTTAACTAGACTGTAGCCCCCACTCGCCTCAACCAGAGAAACCTCAGGCACAGCAGTGAAGACCCAGCACAGCCAAAAATTAACAACAACAAAAAAATCCCCAGCCCCATGAAGCTTCCACTTTTGACAATAAACACTAGTAATTGTGAATATATAGGTTAGAGTAAATAGTGAAAAGCTCTCAGGAACAGAAATGAAGCAGGAGTTGGGATATGAAATATGAGGCAGAAAGGGTGCTGAAATTTTGGAGAAGGTGGTGAGGGAAAGCATGGCTGGGAAGCTGACTTGAATGAAAGACCTGATTGATGGTTTGGATAAATATAGACCTAGATAGAAAATATTTCTCCTGGATTTTCGAGACCATTTCTCCATTGTCTTTGGTTTCTGGGCTGCTGCTGAGAAAGCGAATGCCCTTCTAACTCCCGCTTCTTCCTTTGTGACTTTCCTCCCCACCCTCTGGGAACTTGTAGGAACCTCTGTTTCTCCCCCCTGCCATCTGGAATGTCTCAGTGCCAATTCTGAGTGCCTTTAGCATTTCACGAACTTTTTTTTTTTTTTTTTGTGGTCACGCCTTGCAGCATGCAGGATCTTAGTTCCTTGACCGGGAATCGAACCCATGCCCCTCTTTATCAGAAGCTCCAAGTCTTAACCACAGGACCACCTGGGAAGTCCCTCCCTCCTGAACCTGTTCAGTCTGCAACCTCATGTCTTCGGTTTGGGGAGACAAAAAAAAAATTCTTATAATACCTTTGAAAAACTGCTCGGTTTTTTCTGACCTCCGTACCCAAGTCCCCATTATTAGGAATTCAGAGGCTCTGAGGTAATTCTCTCTTTTTTTTATTGGTTCTCACCCTTTTCCCACTCCTTAGTCTATTTTGGTGCCCTTTTTGAGATTTCGTCAACTTTGTCTTCGCCACTGAATTTGTCCTTTCTGTTCTCATGGTTCCCAGAGCTCGCTGTTGCTCTCCAAATGTTCCCCCTTTCTCAGACTGTCTCATTGCTTCTGAGTTTCTGTTTTCTGTTTGTTTCTAACATGAAAGAGGCTTTATGAAATGCCTGGTAATACTTGCTGGTCTGTTCATGTATAAGCGAAGCATGGTCGTACTCACTGAAAGCTCTTGTGTGTGGCCTGGGCTGCTTCATTATGGGGTGACCAGACAGAATCAGAATCTTACCTTGCTCAAAACTCTGTTGGTGTCCTCTCAGAGGACAGTCAGCTTTCCTCCAGGGCTTCCTCCAGTTTCCTGACAGAAATGTCAGCCCTTTGCCAGAACTCTGACAGAGGGGACCTCACACACCTTCCCCTATGTCTAGTGAGCCAGAATCCAGTCCACTGGCTCCTCCCCTTTCAGGTTCTGCTGTGGATTTGTGGAGTTGCTTGGCTGAATGGGATGCAAAGGAGATGGGGAAACTTGTTGCTATTGTTGTATACTCACAAAGTCGTGTCCGAGTCTTTGCAACCCCATGGACTATAGCCCGCCAGGCTCTTCTGTCCATGGAATTTCCCAGGCGAGAATACTGGAGTGGGTTGCCATTTCCTTCTCCAGGGGATCTTCCTGACTCAGGGATTGAACCTGCATCTCTTGCATTGGCAGGAGCATTCTTTACCGCTGAGCCACCAGGGAAAGCGTGCTGCACCATTAAAAAAATTCAGTCAGCCCTCATGCTTTCCAGGCACTCTGCATTCCTACCTTCAGGAGGATCTAGTGCCTCATTTCCTGAGCTTCTCCAGCCCTGCAATTATGCAGAGTTCTGCTCCTGAAGACAGTTATGTGTTTGCTTGTGATTCTGCCATTTGGGCAAGGTTTCCAGGGAGGGTCTTGTTTCTGTTCTGGCAGGGCTCTCCTGGGGCCAAGGGTTCCCCCCTCAATGTGGCACACCCACATAACTGGCCGGTGGTCCTGGCTGGAGAATGGTGCCTGGTGAGGGGTGTCAGTCAGGGCTCCCACTTTTTTCTTCCTGTGGCCTCCCAGCGTGGCTCAGTTAGAGTCCACAGAAGTTTGGTTCTGTGAGGATGCAGACAAGACAGGCATGCTCAACAAGAAGACAAGCTCTCATGTGCAAACATGTGCCAAGCCTCCATTTTGCATCACACTTGCTAGCATCTCATTTACCAAAGCGAGTCCCGTGGCCAAGCCTAGACTCCAGGAGGAGGGGACTGCACTCCACAGGGGCACGATGGCTGGGAGGCATGGTTCACAGGAGCCGCATGCCCCCCAGAACTCTAAGATGCTATCATCCTGTGCTTGTGCTGGTGTAACTGATATTTTTCCATTTTCTTTCCGACACATTAGGACACCAGACTCATGTAGATATTTTCTTTGGTAGAAACATTCAATATGTAGTAAAGCCCCAGAAATATTGTAGCATTTCCACTTACAGCACATTTCTGGATGGACTATAAAGACTTAATCTAGGGATTCCCCTGGTGGTCCAGTGGTTAAGACTTAACCTTTCAATGCAGGGTGTGTGGATTTGGTCCATGGTCCAGAAGCTAAGATCCCACATGCCTGGAGGACAAAAAACCAACACATAAAACAGAAGTAGTATTGTAACAAATTCAATAAAGACTTTAAAATAGGTCCACTTCAAAACAAATCTTAAAAGAAAAAGACTTTATGTCACTTGCCTGTTGCTATCATGATTGTGTCCCTCATTAAAGACTTGGGGAAAAAAATTCACCCAATGGGATCAGATTCCTAAATACACATTTCAAGGGAATTAAATATTGTGTTTTGCTTTAGGCCACCAAGGGTTAGCTTCTTGTCCTTTGGTTTTTAAAATAGTTAAAAATGAGCCTCTGTAACACCTGCCTTGACTCTAAAGAATAAGGTATTTACATCATAACCAGAGAGTGCGTTTCTTGAAAATTCCAAGATTACGTCTCTTGTGACATGGTTTTTTTCAAGCGCACCTGGAACATTCCTGCCTGCAGTAGGACGGAAGTGGCTTATCTTGTGCTGTGTGTCATGTGAGTCTTGAGCTGTGACTGATAACTGTGTCCATCTTGTGTGCAGGAGTTCTTTATCTCCAGTACGGAGATGAAACCAAGCAGCTCAGGATGCCGAACGAAATTACAAGTGCAGACACAATCCGTGCTCTCTTCGTAAGTGCCTTTCCACAGCAGCTCACCATGAAAATGCTGGAGTCGCCCAGTGTCGCCATTTACATCAAAGATGAAAGCAGAAATGTCTATTATGAACTAAATGATGTCAGGTAAGCGGTGATTCACATGTGTCCACCATCTTACACTGACTATTGGTACCAAGTCCCCATCTCTCCGTGTCCCAGTGAAGACAGCACGGCTGTTGTCTTAATGAGCAGGTTTACCTTATCCAGGTGTGAATCCACTATCTGGTTTTCTAGAATTCATTGACAAAGTTTGGTTTACAGAGGTGAGGACAGACTTCTCCCACACAGATGTTTGCAGGTTATATCTGAAAAAAATGGAAAAATTGAGCCAGTCCATTGTTTATTGTAAGAGTTAGGGAAGCAGTGGCCCAGGAAGATCATATGAGTAGAAGGTTATACCTACAGGTGGAATTTAACCAACTCCTTTTCAAGGCATCTCATTCTCATAGACGGAGGCTGTGGACATTTTAGGTAATGATCCCACTGGGCCATAATTTACATGAATGAGTTAGAATAAAAGCAGTGGATGCAACGCTATTGTCCACAAGAAAGGAGACCAAGAAGCCGTCTCCTTTTCTTGTTTTTTAAATAGTTGGCCTTTGCTAAAGGATCACACTTTCCATGTGGGCTTTCTCCAGGGCTCCTAGTATAACAGTGAAAAGTGAAAGTGTTAGTCTGTCAGTCATGTCCAGCTCTTTGTGACTCCTGGACCACCAGGCTCCTCTGTCCATGGGATTTTCCAGGCAAGAACATTGGAATGGGTAGCCATTCTCTTCTCCAGGGGATCTTCCCAAACCCAGGGATCAAACCTGGGTCTCTTGCAGTGCAGGCAGATTCTTTACCATCTGAGCCACCAGGAAGTCCACTCTTGATATAATAAGATGTACTTTAAAAGGAGGCTAAAGGGATTCCTACTGTGGCCAGTGGCACAGAAAGGGAGGCGCTTTATCAATGCCAATAATGTTGTGTCGTGAAAAGAAGGGACCATCTGAGCCCTTCTTGCCAAACAAGCCTGAGAATCAGGACTGAGGTTGACCCAAATGAGCTGTTGCTAGTATAGCTGTTAAACATTTTAGAGCTGAGAAAAAGATTGAGTGATTCACCCAGCCCTTTCATTTGATGGGACCAGAAACTCAGATGCTTAAGAGTTAATACTTATTCAAGATCATGCAGCCAATTAATGTCTAAGCCCAGCCCCAAACCTGACTGTCCACATTCTTGATCAGAAATTGTTTATTCCCTCAGAGTGTTCTCCTCTCAACTCATCTGGGCCCCAAGTTGGTTTCTCTGGGTCCCTTCCTTCTGGGGATAGCAGACTGTCCTGTTTCTTCATCATGGAATTAATAAGAACTACTTTTTAAAAATATGCCTCTAGTGCATATAGATTTCTAACAGTGATCAGAAATGACATATTTAGGCTTGTACAAAGGTGTATGAGTAATTTAGAGCTTTCAATGTTTGACACATGCCCCTAAGGTATAGGTGTTATGTCTGTTGCCCAACCTTTCTGTTTTTTAAAGTATGTTTAAATATTCATGAGTATCAGGAAATTCATGTTTGTTTTTTGACATAAATTGTTGATCAAGCTGTCATCAAAAAATATCCTTAATGTACAAAGCATGAACTTAACCATGAAGGAATCACGCAATATTTAGAGAGTATATTTGCAGTATATACTCCAATATACTGAAGTTCCAATACTTTGCCCACCTGATGTAAAGCACTGATCATTGGAAAAGACCCTGATGCTGGGAAAGATTGAAGGCGGGAGGAGAAGGGGACGACAGAGGGTGAGATGGTTGGATGGCATCACTGACTCGATGGACATGAGTTTAAGTAAGCTCTGGGAGTTGATGATGGACAGGGAAGCCTGGCGTTCTGCAGTCCATCGGGTCACAAAGAGTCGGACATGACTGAGTGACTGAACTGAACTGATACTTGCAACAAAATAATCTCATGTAGTTGTGTTTTTTTTTTTTTTAACATGGATGTGCTGCTTTAAAACCATTTTCTTGAATTTTTACAGTTCGAGAAATTGAGGGGAAGGGTAATAATAAGTACACATGAAACTACGCAAAGCCACTTTTGATTGTGGAGTTCAAGGCTGATGAGATTATTGTAAACAGTTGGACCCCACTGTCTTGCAGCTCATGCAAGAATTTTTATAGTACTAGTCATGATTTCCTAGACATGAGTTTCTTTCCCAAGCCTCAAAGTATGACTACTAAGACTTTCTTTGCACATTCTTTGGGGGTATTGTGATGTAGTCACAAAAAGAGAAATGGGAGGGAAGACAAAGAGGAAAAGGTCCCCCAAAACTTCCAAACTGAAATGGTCCTTCTTGATGCAAATTCAGTTGATGAAACAAAGCAGCACTTGAAAGAAGTGATCGCATTAAATGTTAATAGTTTCAGTTTGTTTCCATCTGCAAAAGTGATGTTCTGGTTGATTCTTAGGCTGTGGTACTGATAGCCTGATTTTTAAAAAGTCTCATTGAAAATGTGTAAGGGGAACGTCATTGGTTTATAAATTTGTCTATAATTTTACTTTTCAGAGTTTTGATTTACATATGAAAAATGGATCTAAAAATATTTAAGTGGACCTAAAAATATTTAAATGTCTTTATTTGGTGATGAATATACTATTTAGGCAAGATGATAACATGTATGTTCTTTCAAAGAATTATTATTCTTTGCTTTTTTTGCATAAAATCCCTCAAGTATATTTTATTTGAATGGTAGAATAAACTTTCACCATCAGCATTAAATAGAACCTTGCCTGCTCCCTCTCCCAGCAAGGGAAAAAAAAAAATGTAGCCTGTAGATTTTACCTGAAGACACTGGCTTTAATATCCTAAACCCAGAGACAAATTCCATTCACGCCCAGTATTTTTGAAGTGAGGGTATATTTGTTAAACATTTGGAGCTTTCATCATGGTGTTGAGTTGTCCATATTTTCCTTGGGGAAATGCTACCGAGAGTTTAGGTTGAAATTCTGTGTTGTAAATGTTGCCATGGCAAACGCAAGCTGGGCCTTTTCTGTTGGTTCATCTTGGATGAACATGTTTCTAAATTAATCATAAACCAACCTCCTGTGTTTTAAATACCTTCAGAACCACATGAATTTTTTTTTTCTCATGGCTTAAGTAAGGTTTTCAGTTTCTTCACATCGTCACTTGGGAATTTGACCCCTCGTCCACGGGGTGAGTTCCTGCATTGAATCCCCACACCCTTTCCTTCTGCTAGTTCTTCCCTTCCTAGTCACTGAGTCTCTTCCAGTAACAAGGACCACACTCCTCCCCTTAAGCAGACTTCTAATGAGCTGCTTGAAATGTGGAGCGATGGTACAAGCTGGGGCTAGTCACCGCTTAAAAGCAAACACTGACAGATATTTGATGGAAGGAAGCAAGACTAGTCCAGGGATCCTCCAGTTCATTGAAAACAAAAACACAAGCCAATCATCCCAGTGATTGCGATCGGCCCACAATACGTGTGGCTGCACCTGGAGGAAAGGAATGTGTCTTCCTGCACCAGATTCCCTAAGCTCACCGTGCCAGCCCTGGCAGGCATCACCGTGTAGACAGGGCTGAACATGCCCGGGGGGGCCTCTCCTGCTGATGAAAACTGAAGATGGAGGGCGAAGGACGTCGTAGATATTCATAAGCTCTTAAATAATTTTAAGGTAGGCTGTTAGCAAATGCGGTTCTGTCCTTTGCTGCAGTCTGATTGACTCTAGAGTTTCTAAATGTTGGATTCCAAGGGAGAGACAAACCAGCGGAAGCATTTACCCACTGCTTTTTCTGGAATCCAACTTGTATGAGGAACAGTATCTTTTAAAAATCCATTATGGAAGGGAAAAAAAATCATAAAGGTACTACTAGTTTTGATCTTTATGGTACTTTTTTTCTGGACTGCAAATACCTTTTCTTTCCCTGGCTATAGGTGTTCGGAGGAAAAAAAGCATTTTTCGTTTGCATCCATTTATGAGATAAGCAGAAAACCAGGTGTCTGGGCAAAGTAAACAATTAAATATTTAAATATTAACCAAATCCCTTTGAACAGATTGTAGATATAGGAACTTTATTGTTTCATGAAGTGTTAGCTTTCCTTGCTCCGAATCTTGAAAGAAGGTTTGTGCTACCCGATATTTATGGGTGGAGAGCTACGGAGAAAGAGTAATACTTTCCTGAGGAATAGGGGGAAAAAAGGAAAGAAAAGCTGAAGTCATTTTTTTCCTTTGCCTTATTTATCTTTGCCTGTTTTTACGGTAAAAGAACTTTTTGTCTGGTTGATTGCACACAACGGCTGGACTGTCTGTAGATATCTTTTACCTAATTCTTATGAGTAGAGGAGAAGGAAATGGCCACAATAAGGCTCCTTTCATCTGCCATAGTTATTGATGTTTTTGATTCCAGGAACATTCAGGACAGATCCCTTCTCAAAGTGTACAACAAGGATCCTGCCCACGCATTCAACCACACGCCGAAAACTGTGAACGGAGACATGAGGGTGAGTGTTCCTGTTCTATTTTTGCTTTAATTCTATGGGTCGAACGAGCATCCCTCCTCTGGCATGTGGTCCTGGTGTGATCACACTAAAACACCAGATACGGGGGGTTCTTAACTGCTCTTCTTCTTGTCTGATGGCATTGTTTCTTGGTAGAGAAGTCAGATTCCCTCATTATTTGGAGTAAGAGGGTTGAGACGGGGCTTGACACATCCTATTTCATCTCTAAGCATGGAATTTAGTTATGTCCTCACTCCAAAGGGGTCCTGAAGATCTGTACGTGAAAGGTAATAAATTACCTTACTCGGAGGATCTCTTGCTATTTTTTCCCTCCATTTAAAGCAAAACTGACATACCAATGACAGCAAAACCTGTGCACAAATGCATGTAAAATCTATTAATATCTTTCTGTCAGCTATTCCAAGTCCAAGAATTCTAATTATTGAATAAATTCTTCACTTTCTAATTCAGGACTGTTTGCTGTTACAACTGCAAATAGTGTTAAATATTATCAAATGTCACCTGCATGGTGTTGAGGGCAAAGTACAAAAATCTGCATGTTTTGTGAGCTAAAATTCTCTAGATTTAGAGCATCGTAGAAGATTATCCAAATATTCAGAGCATACAGGCATGTTTTGAAGAATAAAGCACAGGGAACCTGAAAAGGCAGATTGTAAAATCGCACTAATGCAAGTCCATTTGAATGGGATTGCATTTCTAACAATAATGCTAATGCTACCTTCTTCTGCAGTAAAAATGAGCAGGAAAAAAAGATGCACTTCTCCAGATGCACCTCCACCTCCCCACCCCATCCCCCATCCCCAAATTTAGAACATGCCTTGACATTTTCTATCATCCTTTCTAAGGATTAGCACTGGATGCTGGAGTTGAACTAGAAAAAAAAATAATAAATGATTAGGTTTTACTGCCAAAGAAACCCAGGCACTGCCTGTCCTAGAATTCCAGGAGGGTTCTTGAAGGACTCTGCTTCCTGACAGTGAGTATTAGTTGTGTTTTGCTGGTGTACCAAATTATTACATATTCACTGGCTTAAAATGACACAGATTACTGTCTTACAGTTCTAGAAGTCAGAAGTCCAACATAACTTCAGTGAACTAATAAAACTAAGGGATCATTGGCATTCCTTTCCAGAAACTCCCGTTTCTCCCAGCTCCTGGAGGCCAGCCCCATTCCTTGGCTTGCAGCCTTCTTCCTCCGTCTTTAAACACATGCAAGTAGCATCTTTCTGACATGGCTTCCCTCATCACACCTCCAACCCTCTCTCTTCCACTGTTAAGGATACTTGTGATTACACTGGGTCCAGTTCTCCAGAATAATCTCCTTATGTTAGGCTCAGCTGATGGGGCACCTTCGTCCCCTTCCCCGTGTAGTCACAGGTTCTGGAGACTTGGATGGAGATGTCTTTGTTCTGCCCACCACATAGGACCTGTGAGTTGAGGACCAAGAGGTCAGGAGGTGCAATAGAAAGTGCTGGGGGAAATTTCCACGTGGCTCTGGACTGCAAGCTGAGTGATGACATTGTAGGATCGGAGCCTACACACTTTTGGAGAAAGAGGCCTCTTGTGTTCTCCGAGACTGCTTTTTTTATGTCCGAAATGACATGTGACTTGAAGGGGAGGCTGAGCTGCTACTGCAGAAAAACTTGGATTTGGAACTTTATTTTTAGTCAGTTACACTTTCCATGTAAACCAGCTCCACGTGAAGACAGATGGAGTCATGCTCATCACGAAGTATGCGCCGAATACGATGCTTCTCTTTGCTTTTCATGACCTCATTCATCTCTTGCTAAAGCAACATTCTTAAGAGTCTTTGCTCCTTGGAGATCCTTATTCTTTGATATGTCTAGCCTTCAGACTAGAGTTTCATAGTGTTCGGAGTTGTGTTTTTGTTACACGGAGCCCACACAGGGGCCCTAGAATTGCCTCTGAAAATCTTGTTTATGGCTGGGGAGGACACCTGTTTTTAACTCTTAAGCAGATGTGGAACCTCCATAAGGACCAGCAGTAAAGCACGGAGAAAATCAAATATTAACCATCTGGACAGAGCCTGCTAGGATTCAGAACTTTGACTCTGGGTTTCAGTGGTGCTTCTCTATTTTTACTTTTAGACGAGACCCTTGTGGTCACTTTCCAAGTTGCCCACAGCCTACTTTAGACAATGCTTTTCTCTGGGAGAGAGTCAAACTGTTCTCCCCGGAGGAGAAGAAACAAATGTTCACCATCCAACCCACAGAAAAAGCATTCAGGTTTCAGTGAAGACAACTTAGAAATGAGACAGAGAGTGTAGTTTTAAAACCAACTTGGCAAAGAAGGGGTGGACACAGTTCAGCAAGCTGGTTCTCATCCAGCAGACTCAAAAAAATTCTGTACAGAAAAATTTTCAGTTTTCTCTTTTGTGTCAAAATGTATTTTTAAAATGTATAGTCTCATGGAATAATTATCTGATTGGCAAATATAAAAACATTCTTTCGTTTGTCAATATTATAATTTGGTGAGTCATAAACTGGTATTAATGAAAAACCATTTTTAAAAATTAACACTTAAAAAAATTGTTATATTTCTGGAATAAACCACACTTGATCACACACACAAAACAAAACCTGACTTGGTGTCATGTCAAGTTTGCAACTTGGCCCCTATTCATGAATCCAGGAGCTAAAAGACCTAGAATCCCTTTAGCGTCACCTTTTGGCTCTGGGGGTCGGAATTCTTTCTCCTTCCTGATGAAGGTGGATGCCTTACCTTCAAAGGGAAGGAAGCTTTGTTGAGCCCTGCCAGCAACACAGCTGCGTAAGCCCACTGCCCGTGGCAAAGGAGAGAAATCCAGGACAGAGCAAGGATCAACAGCTCTAGCCTAAACGGAGGGGAGGAATTTGGTGATAACTGCTCACCTGAGTCGGCTAACGCAGTCCCGCACCCGAGGTTGTTGGTCCCTCCGCCAGTCTCCCCGCAGCCTGAGCTAGTCCTCAGCTGCCCACTTGTTACCAGTATGCATGCGTGACTCGGAAAACATTGGTGGGACCAAGGTCATGCACCTCAGAGCCTATGTGGAATAGATGCTTAGTGGAAAAGACATGTGCTGTATTTTTCATTGAGCATCTAGGCGAGCATGTTTAAAATGGATTTATCTTTTTAATTGAGGTATAGTTGACATACAATATTGTGTGAATTTCAGGTGTACAGAAAGTGATTCAGTTATTCTTTCAGATTGTGTTCCATTGTAGGCTATCATAAGATATTGAATATGGGGCTTCCCTGGTGGCTTAGACGGTAAAGAGCCTGCCTGCATTGTGGGAGACCTGGGTTCGATCCCTGGGTCGGGAAGATCCCCTGGAGAAGGAAATGGCAACCCACTTCAGTATTCTTGCCTAGAAAAATCCCATGGACAGAGGAGTCTGATGGACTGTAGTCCATGGGTCACAAAGAGTTGGACATGACTGAGCGACTAACAACAAAAATCTCATTATATCAGAAAAAAAAAATACTGAATATAGTTCTCTGTGCTATACGGCATAAATCCTTATTGAATATCTATTTTATGTATAACAGTTTGTATCTATTAATCCCACACTCTTAATTTGTCCCTCTCTCTCCCCTTGGTAACCATATGTTTTTTGTTTTTCCTATGTCTGTGAGTCTGTTTCTGTTTTGTATATAGATTCACTTGTGCTATTTTTAGATTCCACGTATCAGTGATATCATATGATATTTGTCTTTCTCTTGACTTCACTAAGTATAATATTCTCTAGGTCCATCCATGTTGCTACAAATGAGAATATTTCATTCTTTTCATGGATGAGTAGTATTTCATGGTGTGTGTGTATATATATATATATTTATGTGTATATATACACACATATATACGTGCTTATACATGTTCTGTGCTGAGTCACTTCAGTCGTGTCCAACTCTTTGTGACCCTGTGGACCATAGACTGCCAGGCTCTTCGGTCCTTGGGATTCTCTAGGCAACAATACTGGAGTGGATTGCTATGCCCTCCTCCAGGGGATCTTCCCGACCCAGGCATCAAACCCACATCTCTTAGATCTCCTGCATTGGCAGGTGGGTTTTTTGTTGTTTTTTTTTTTACCACTAATGCCACCTGAAAACCCCTTCATCTTCTTAACCCAGTCATGTATTAATGGGCACTTAGGTTGCAAACACCCTCTTCCAACAACACAAGAGACAACTCTACACATGGACATCACCAGATGGTCAATACCGAGATCAGATTGATTATACTTTTTGCAGCCTCAGATGGAGAGGCTCTATACAGTCAGCAAAAACAAGACTAGGAGCTGACTGTGACTCAGATCATGAACTCCTTATTGCCAAATTCAGACTTAAATTGAAGAAAGTAGGGAAAACCACTAGACCATTCAGGTATGACCTAAATCAAATCCCTTATGATTATACAGTGGAACTGACAAATAGATTCAAGGGATTAGATCTGATAGACAGAGTGCCTGAAGAACTATGGACGGAGGTTCGTGACATTGTACAGGAGGCAGTGATGAAGAACTTCCCCAAGAAAAAGAAATGCAAAAAGGCAAAATGGTTGTCTGATGAGACCTTACAAATAGCTGAGAAAAGAAGAGAAGCTAAAGGTAAAGGAGAAAAGGAAAGGTATACCCATTTGAATGCAGAGTTCTAAAGAATAGCCAGGAGAGATAAGAAAGACTTCCCCAGCTATCAATGCAAAGAAATAGAGGAAAACAATGGAGTGGGAAAGACTATCGATCTCTTCAAGAAAATTAGAGATACCAAGGGAACTTTCATGGAAAGATGAGCACAATAAAGGACAGAAATGGTATGGACCTAACAGAAGCAGAAGATATTAAGACGAGGTGGCAAGAACATACAGAAGAGCTATACAAAAAAAGATCATGACCCACATAACCACGATAGTGTGATCACTCACCTAGAGCCAGACATCCTGGAGTGCGAAGTCAAGTGGGCCTTAGGAAGCATCACTACAAATAA